TGCCTCACGTTGTCTACGCTCCAACTCGATCCGATCGTAGTTGAGCCGTTTCAAACACACTATGCCGTAGAGCAAACTGGTCCGGTGTAAATTGTCTATCATTTTCAAATGTGTACGCAAATCGCGTTTGGTCAGGTGATCCAACATCCGGGCATCGACCAAACATTCCATGAACAACGGTCGATACTGGGCCAAACCCAGGCTGGGTAACCACACGTTACCGACCCACTCATGATTCATATCACCAAATGCAAGCCGACTGTAGAGTGGGGAACAATTAAAACGGGGTTAAAGCGGATCAGGGTAAATAGGAGACATGGGTCAATCTAATCCCGTTTGCCTTTGACGCAAATGAATATAAAAAGGTTTAAACGAACGGAGCAGTAACAGCGGATAGAACGTGAGCCAGAAAGTCAGACAATGTGATGTGGACAAAAGAAAGTTAGATCCTCAATAGCTCAATCTTCTGATGTGACTTGTTGTTAGTGTATCACGTGATCGATCGACTGCCGAATGGTGAAAAAACGGGACGAAAACTGATTCAGCAGTGCCCCAATGCACCCCATACTTTGGTCAAGAAAATTGATTCTGTATTGCTGTCATATGATCAAGAAAACTGCTTTTGTGCGAATATAGACAACTGTGGACATAGATATGGGATCACATAGGGACAGGAAAAGCTGCGTTTCACTTGTGCGCATTGTGTCAAAGTCAAAGTTTTATTATGGGAATAACTTACAAGCTGGTGCTTCTCTTGTCCCATAGGATATTTACACAGATGAATCGTTACACATTGAAAAAGAAGTCACATAGAGTTCCAGGTAGGAGATAATAGAGAATGTAGGCTACAGTGAAGTTCTGTTTGCTTTTAGTGGTGTACGAATCTGAGGTGTGCTAAGGTTTCGTCGAGTCTCTGCTTGAAAGATTCAATAGTAGGTGCACAAACGACATGAGATGGAAGGGCGTTCCAAGATCTGCATACTCTGGCGCCGGCAATCCAGTCGACACGTAGGAATCAGTAGTTTGAAACGATGTCCCCTTAGGTGTACATTTTTTGATAACATGAGCAGCGACCGACAGGGATGGTTTGGGTTCTGCAGTATTTGATACGTCAAAATCAAGTCTCCTCGAGTTCGGCGGTACTGAGCAGAATATAGTCCCAATGATCGCAATCTCTCCTCATATGTCATATGTCGAAATGCTGTACAAACTGGACGTACACTGTTTTTTTTACAAAACTCAAATTGTGTGAAATTAAAATTTATCCATTGAAGGATCATTTTTCTCTTTTTATTCCACCACCAGATATCAAAACAGAGGCGAATAAAAACGATCCAATATGGAGAATTGATGGTGAGAAAAAGGGAGTAGGTATTTTCACATTGTGTTGTTGAGCACGACTTGTGGACTTTTGGACATTCGAAACCTTTTTTTTTCAAGAACGGCAGATGGCTTGAAGCTTTCCCAGGTGCTTTATGGTTAGCTTAAACAAGTATGGAATTTGCGTCACTTGAGCCTGTACTGTTGTTTTCACCGAATTGGTGATTGTAACCAAACAATTACCAATTTTCCTGGCAGACAGCTTCATTGTAACCAGGTTTAATGCCACGCCTATCTCATGACAGATTTAAGTAAGTCAGCACTGCGAGAGCCAGGGCAGAAATCGCCGATTTCCAATAGTTGATCAGCTGATCTTCAGGACCACGGGGTTCATTCACTGTATTGGTCATTGAGTTAAGGTGTGACGTAAACGACGATTGCAAGAGCGGGTTCCTTTTGGCACTACAGTTGTTTGCATTCAGTATGCCGTAATCAACAAGTGGCAAGGCCACATTATTGACATGATATCGAGAAGGCAAATCGATTTATATCCAGAGGAGCTTTATCACTCGAAGTGAATTGTGTAGAATATCTTCTAGCCTAGGCCTAGTAATGAAATAATGGTAGTTTTATTTGAAGCTCGAAATACCAACGGATCGGTGAACACGTTTACGGCTGACATGAAAGTGCAGCAGCGTTTTTCCCGATCAGAGGTTAGCACGCCTACGGAAACAATGATCATGCTAGTAGTTCGAGTGCCATGGAGACTATACCTCACTGGTTGGCACTATCGCAGATTGGGCACTTCTTGAGAAAGGTTTAAAGTATCGGTCCTTCCCGAAAGAGCGTTGGAGATTACGGGAAATGAGATATCAAAAAATTCTGATTTTGTATATTCTCGAAGCTCGAAGAACACATCAACACCAACACATCCGCAGCCCGAGCCACAATCATTCTACATTATATTTGAAAATGTGTTTACCGGTATCTATGATCTTTGATTAGGGATAAGTGAAGGATGTCAAAAGTTCTCAACGACCGCACTTTTAGATGGTGGGTACATTGACACAGAACACGGGACGCATTGGTTCATGAAACTTTAACGTTCTATATCTCCACTTTAAATACCAGATTGACTGAAAACACGTTAGTAGTAATAAGTTAAATCCGAATACGGATTTTACAAAACGCATATTTCCAGATCGAACGATCTCTCCAGGCGCTTTGTGGCTCGCGAACAGGATGCACTTCAACACTATGATGAGAAATCTTAGAGACTTGCAGATTTTCCCTAAACCTGAAAGTGTGCAAACTGTGTGCACAGCAATGAACAGATCCACACCACAGGTGGTGGTAGTAGNGGGGGGGGGGGGGGAGTAACAAATTACAGACGGACAGCAGTATGAAAAATCTGATAAGAAGGACTAAACTTGATGAGACACTGAGAGGGGGAGCGGCTCTTTTCCGTCTCCGACTCCTCCGAGGCGTAAACATGTCTCGTCGCATCTGATTTCACCTGTGCATCGAGTTTGACAACCGGGTCGCAACAGGTCACAACATCGACCGAGAGACCGGTTCAGCGCGGGCGAGCGGACTGGTGATGTTTTGCAAACAAATTGCTAGGCAAAGGTAAATTCGGTCCGCCGGAATTATA